ATATTAATATTAAAGACATTTCTCTGATGTTAAATTAATGACTGGCTACTGTATCCAGAAATTCAAATGTGAAAAACTCTGTTAAAAGATTACATCCCAAGACCATTTGGTTGAAAATCTATTTTCCACAAGCAGAAAGTTTGTAAAAGGTAGAGAATGACTCAAGATATGTCACTAAATAGTCCTGGTCTTACTTTTTTTTTAACTGAATGACTAAGTAACCTATGATGTCCTTTTTAGCCCTAAAATTACATGAATTATTTGAATCTAATAGGTTCACAGGCCTGCTTGCTCTGTCCAGAAGCATTATGTATATGGAAGAGCATACTGCCCCAAGAGTCCTGTCACCTGTCACCAACCCATGGAACTTCTTCACTTAAGCACCTCAATGCCTAAAGGAAAGTATCTCCACGAACTTTTTTTAAAATTTATTTTATTTCAGCATATTACGGGGGTACAAATGTTTAGGTTATGTGTATTGCCCTTGCCCCCCGCCCCAGTCAGAGCTTCAAGCGTGTCCATCCCCTACACGGTGCACACCACACCCATTATGTGTGTATACCCATCCCCTCCTCCCCCTTTATGTTTCTTATATTCACTTCATAGTTGGTAACTGTGGAATCATCAAAAATGAAATCTTGATTTTAGGACTATCACTTGCTTACCAGTTATGTCACAATTTCTTATATTCATAAAAGAAAAAAAGTGTTTCCTTGTAACTAAAAAAATGTATGTTGGTAGCTAGGTAGGATATGTGACTTTAAAATTGTGGTTTTATTTAAATAGGTTTAAGCTTTGTTCCTTTTGTTTTGTACAGCTCTAAATCAATAACTATAATTTATGCCTTTTTTCTAAAGGGCTACAATAGAAGCATCTCCCGAACAGAAACGATAATACGCTTTGCTTTCCAAGCCTCTATCACAGTTCTGTGTATTGCGTGTCCCTGTTCACTGGGCCTGGCCACTCCAACTGCTGTGATGGTGGGTACGGGAGTAGGTGCTCAAAATGGCATACTAATCAAAGGTGGAGAGCCATTGGAGATGGCTCATAAGGTAAGACAATCCCCAGAACTAAGAATTGTCCCATTCAAACTGACAATAGCACCCCTATTGAGAAACACATAGTTCTAAATTATTTCCACATGGTCCATAAGCGGAGCTGCTCCTGGAACTATCTGGAGAGTTAAGGTAGGAAAGGTGTTATTTTGGTTCTGTTCCAGATTGGCCTTAGTTACCTAAGATCTTCAAAATTACTCCAGGCCTACTCTCCTGGAGTCCTATCCTAGCTCAGACTAGACCAGTCTTTAGGCAGGAAGACAGAATAGGTATTTGGCCAGGAAAATTTGCAAATCAAGCAGGCTTCCAACTTATTTGCGTTCTTCAGTGGGAGCTAGTGCCTGCAATTACAATGCGGTTTCTTTGCCTTTGCTGCCACCAGTTAACAGTTTGCAGCTATGACTTCCGAAATATAATCCTATCTCTGATTTCTCTCATATTAGGATTTTCATAATAATCTCAATTAAGACTACTTGACTTAGACTAAAACCATGTACCTACTAGTATGTTCTTATTATGAGGATATAAACTATATACAGATGCATGTAATAAACAGAACATAGCTTAGAACAAATCTGGAACCTCATCCAGCCAGTGAATAAAGGCAAGTTATAGAAATTTTTTATTTTGATACAATTTCAAACTTAAAGAAAAGTTGTAAGACTAGTAGAAAGAATTCTTATGTCCTCTTTACTGGAGCTGGTGAGCTCCTTTCCTAAGAATAAGGACATTTTCTTGTGTAAATAGTACAATTATCAGAACCAAGAAATTAATATTGATATAATACTGTTATAATATCTAATCCACAATCCATGTTCCAGTTTCCTCAGTTGTCTCAATGTCCTTTATAGCTATTTTTCTCTTGTCCAGAATCATAGTTTGTATTTAGTTGTTATCAGGGGTTCGCGACATCCCCAATAAAGACAGGGTCCCCTGGCAGACTGTGTTGCAAGAGATAAATGAAACAAAGACACAGAAACAGAAATAGTATTTAAGACAGCGGGAAAGTCGGGGGACCACCAACACTCTGGTGCCAAGGCGGCAATGACTGAAACCCAGCACTTGCTTTTTATTCTCTTTGCCATGTTGCAAAATACAATGATCTCATGTGAAAAAATCACGGGATACAATGATCAAAGGTTTCGGGGCTCCCCCCAAAATCACAAGGTGTACTAGCTAATTTTCTTCTCCTTTCTAGAAGTGAAAAACACATAATTCTTCAGTAGGTACGATCCTTTTGATCAAGGTAAACTGACTAATTTTATCCCAAGCTCAAGCTATATACATGGATATCAATCTCTAACTTCAGTAGCTGTGACCCATTTGATCAAGGAACAAAGTAACTACATGCTTTCCACTGGGAGACTGGTTTTACACTAACTGAGGCATTGTTGAGAGAAAGGGAGAGAAGGAACTTAGCCCACTGCTCAAACAATGGAAGCCCTGAGAGCCTTCTCCCGGGCTGACATATGGCAATCTACCTCTACAGCCATGAGAAGTTTTCATGTCAGGCTGCCCACAGCTTTTCATGCATGAGACCCCTCAGGCTCTGAGGTTGGAGCATGCTTTGCTGTACTCCCAGATGGCTGATATATGTCCCCAACTAGGCAGTTAACATCTGCCCTTATTTCAGGCTTCTGCTCAGGCAATTCCTTCACCTCCTCTCCTCTCACAGCCTCAGACATAGCATCCCTCAGTCCTGGTGGTCTTAATCCCATCAAGTTGTCATTTCTCTTTCATCTTGGTTTCTTGGGCTATCAATTTTCAAGGTTCCTATTTCAAGTTCACTATGAGGTGACTGTGTTCTCTGATTCCAGGCTCTTCTTTTTGTCTGTCTGGGCTGAGTTTCCCACATTGGTTCCCTGAGCTGTCTCTTCTCAGCCCAAATTCTAACCTAGACCCAATAAAGTCAAAGCAACCCAGCAGGTCTTGTCCGATGCTCATTTCAATTTACTCACTTACCTTTTCTCTTATAATCATCCACCTACTGCCCAGATTTCCCCAGTGAATCTATAATTCATTACTATTGAAAGCCTTTCTGTTTTCCCTGGAGGCACTAGAGGCATCTCTTAATTATCCATTAACAGTCAACCCTTAACGATTAGCTTTAGTTGTTTAACATATATTCACAGTCATTTCCCATGATTAAACAGTTGAACATTTACAGGGTATGGCTATTAGGTATAACTAAGAGTATTTATTTCTTCTCTTATCCTCCCTTTCTTTTGTTCTCTCAAAGACTGTCAGTTTGTAAAGTCAAATTAAGTCAAAGTTCAATTTATTAAGAAACAAAATAGTAATCTTTCAAAGTAAACCTTTTTCTCATTTCTGGAAAGGTGATGTTAAAGATTATCGAGTCATATAGGTGCATTGTATTTTCATTTTCTTATAGGTAAAGGTAGTGGTATTTGATAAGACTGGAACCATTACTCATGGAACCCCAGTAGTGAATCAAGTAAAGATTCTAGTGGAAAGTAACAGAATATCACGCAATAAGATCCTGGCCATTGTGGGAACTGCTGAAAGTAACAGTGAACACCCTCTAGGAGCAGCTGTAACCAAATACTGCAAACAGGTACAAGTTTTCCCCTTGTTTATTAATGTAGTCATGTCCAGTAGGAATTACCCAAGTCAAAACCAGACTGGCGTTTGACTGTGATTTACATGTATAGTTGATACGAGGAGAAAGAGACTTGTATTTTCTCGTTTAATTTTATGTTTTAGTTTCTTTGTATAGACAAGTAAAAAGATGAAAACAGAATTTAAATATAATCCTACCATGTAGATAACTCCTTTTGACATAAAAAATTAAAATAAAAGTAATATATATTTAGGGTAGGAAAATTCAGATCATTCAGAGAATTACATAATGAAAATTGAAAATCTCATTCCTTGCCCAATTCCATAATTCCTCTCTCCAAAGTTTAGTAACTGTTAACCTGTTAGCAGTCTTTTTTAATGACTTTTATTGAGATATAATTCATAAACTATAAAGTTCACCCTTTTAAAGTATACAATTCAATAATTTTTAGTATGTTCACAAAGGTGTGCATCTGTTAACCATTTTAATACATACACCAACATGTATGTTTTCGTGACTTTTTAAAACTTTACATAGAAAGGTGATACAGTGATCAATCTTTGTTACCTTGATTTTTTTATTTTGTTAAATGAATTTTCCATAATAGGAAATATAGCTCGGCCTCATTGTTTTTAATGGCTATATTGTATTCTGCAGTGTGATTGGTTTTTGGCTCTTACAATGTACACTGAAAAGAGATAGCTTTTGCAACTCTATCTCTACATTAAGTACCTATTAATCAATTGCTAGAATCAAAGGACGCATGTAGTTAAATTTTGATGAATATTACCAATACCCATACGAGAGTTTATACCAGTTTATACCTGCACCAAAAATTATAAGTGCCCATTCATTTCCTTACATTCTTACCAACATTTTATTTTTTTCCAGTTTATTAAGTGAAAAATATTTGCTTGTTGATGGTTTGCTTTGCATTTCCTTAATTATAAATAAGGTTGAACGTCTTTTTTTGTATATTTATTGGCCATTTTAATTTCTTTTTCTCTAACCTGTCTACTTGTGTCCATTGCCTATTTTTCCATAAGGTTGTTTTTTTTCTCACTGATTGTGTAAGTTTTATGAATTATCTCACATGAATTTTATCCTTAAAATGTGGCAGTGTCTACCATTGATATTGCCATTTCTTTATTTGTTCTTTCCCTTTTACCTATTAACTATTACTGACCTGATTTCTTTACACCCAAACCAAACAACAGAGAGGATGAAGTTATAAAGAGCCAAGAAACAATGATGGCCCCCAGAATTCTTTGGCTTACTAAGGACACAGAATCAGGCTAGAGAGCACCCTGGTAACTAAAGGCCCCATTCTTTTTACCCTTTGCCCTGTACTGAATAGAAAACATGACTTGACTATAGAATTAGAAATTTAATTTGTAATTCTCTACTGGAAAGGGCAGAGAATATTGATAAGCCTTCCATGTTTTCTGTAAATTTTGGAGAGCAGGATTAAAACAAAAAATTCTGAGGCTCTCTTGTAACTTTGAATTTTATGCTCAATGCTCTGTTCCTTAGTCCTTATCAAAATCCACTGTCAAGTAGGCAATGATAAGTGACAGTTTTATTCTAAACATTTAGAATTAACCAGGCATGTAGCATGTGTCTAAACATTTAGAATTAACCAGGAGTAATCTTTGATCTTGGTAATGCACGACCTTAGGTTACCAGAACAGCAGAGGAAATCCTTCTGTTTCTATTCTATTAGGAGCTGGACACTGAAACCTTGGGTACCTGCATAGATTTCCAGGTTGTGCCAGGCTGTGGTATTAGCTGTAAAGTCACCAATATTGAAGGCTTGCTACATAAGAATAACTGGAAGATACGGGAAAATAATATTAAAAATGCATCCCTGCTTCAAATAGATGCAAGTAATGAACAGTCATCAACTTCATCTTCCATGAATATTGATGCCCAGCTCTCAAGTAAGCTAATTTTCTTTGTAGTACCAATTATGGGAAAGTTATGAACAGATGACTGACTTTATAACCCAGAACTGTTATATAAGAAACAAAAATTGACATCATGATTTCATTGCCTCAAATCAATCTTACCGTATGCCTTCTGATCACTTCACTCAAGTTACTCTAGAACATTTCCCAGCTGTGCTCATTCACACCACCGTAGGGTGAGGAGGGCTAGCCTTAGTTGATCTTCTATAATCCTTCTTTTATTTCTCACTATAACTACTCCAAACCTTTTATACCTTTCATAAGATCCCGTGCTCCCCCTTGTCCCCTCTGCAAAGTACCTTGCTTATTTTTCATATAGAAAATTATGTTTCTCAGGCATGTGTTCTTTCAGTTGTTTGCCCACAATTATTCCTTTTTCAGAAGAGGCACCCCTCATCTTGCCTAATGAATCCCTTCATCTTTGTTCTAGATCCCTCCTTCTCTTGATTCCTCAGGGACCTCTCTGTCTGTTAGGTCCCCTTGCTTCTTTATTTTTCTGTCTCTCTGCAGTAGCTTCTTCTCCTAAATATATAAACATTTCTTCCATCAAAATCATTATATTTACATCTAGGTTTTGTCCTTTCCCATCTATATTTTCATCTAGATTTTGTCTTTTCCTGTTGAGATTCTTTCTTTTCCTTTATATCCAAGCTCCTAGAAAGGATATTCTAGGCTTGCTGAATTCACCTACTTACTGCACTACCATGCCTCAGTTCATTGCAGTCTGGCTTCTGCCCCATCCATACTGCGGAAACTATTCTTTCTAGGTCCACTGATGACTGTGGACCTCAGTGACCTCTCCCGTGGTCACTTTTCAGTCCTCATCCTGCATGACCTCACTAAGGCATTTGACAATGTTGACCATTTCTTCCTTCCTAAAACTCTTTCCTTCCTTGATTCCATGACCCTGCTTTCTCTAGATTCTCCAGTCACCTCCCTGGCTATTCCTTCTAATTCTCCTTTGATCCTCTTTTCTCCTGCTCTCAAATGTTGGATGTCCTCTGGGTTTTATTCTTTGTCTTATTCTCATTTTACATACTCTCTTTGTAAAATCTCATTCATGCTCATCACTTATTCTACCACCTGCAGGCTTCCACTATCACTCTAAAATCTCTCTCTCTAGCCAAGGCCTGTTTCCTTGGCTTCGTGTTGATCTATCCATCTGCCCCCAAAAACCTACCGAAGTGTTTCAGCACCTCCCCACCCATTTGTGCCTGAGTGATTTTGCTAACATACAAATCTGATCATACCACTTTCTGACCAATACCTTTTATTACAGTGGTTTATAACCTATTTGTGAATCACAGACCTTTGGAGGAATATGATGAGAGCTATGGACCCACCCCTCAGAAAATTTTTATTTCAAGAGGTTCACATATATCCTGACACCTATTCATGGATCTCTGCTAAAGATTCTAGCTTTAATGGTTCTCTTTCTCCTGAGGGACAAAGTCCAGTGGACTTTGTTCAAGATCTGTTCCTTATAATATGTTTCCTGCCTCTCTGTATCACCCATCTTATCTTTTTCCACTGCCCCACATGTGCTGTATGTTCCACCATATCTAACTACTTACAGTTCCCCCTTGCAGTGTGTCATTTCCTGCTTATTAGATCATTTCATTTACTATTTTCTCTATGTAATGTCCTTGTCCACAAATGGCATCTACCTCATGAACTTATCCTTATCTTTCGAGACCCAGCTCACATCTCTCTTTAGTGACGCCTTCACTGACTCACATACATTGGCAGAGATATTTGCTCTTCTTGAATCATAACTGTACTTAGTCTCTGTTACTGTACTAGGTACAATGCATGATAATTATTTATTTACCTGCCTGTTTCTACTAGTCTGTGACTTCTTTATTATTTGTCTATGAACTTCTAGTATCAAGCACACTGAACCATAGGAATTCTTTCAACAGCTTTTATTGACTACCTTCTGTGTGTCATGCACTGTTCAAGGCATTAAATAATCAGCAGTGAACAAGATAAACAAAGTTCCTGTATCACGGAGCTTACATTCTTGGTGGGCGAATATAAGACAGTGAACAAATAAATAAGAAAATATAATATGTCCAATGGAGATAGTGCTATGGAGGAAAATGAAGTGGGGTCAGGGGTATACGGAGTGCTGGGAATAGTGGGTCCTATTTCATATAGGGTGATCAGAGTAGGCTTCACTGAGAAGGTGGTGTTTGAGCAAAGACCTGAGGGGATGAGGGAGAAAGCTATATGAATATCCATGACAAGCACATTCCAGGCAGGAGTAGTAGTAAGTGCAAAAGTCTTGAGTCAGGTGTGTACTTGACTTCTTTGAGGAACAGCAAGGAGAGCAGTGTGGCAAGAACATAGTAAATGAGTGAGCCAGGGGTGAAACACAAGGTAGAGAGGTAGTACAGGACTAGATAATGTAAGGACATTGAAAGAACGTTGGTTTTTACCTTGAGATGGGAAGCTATTTGAGGGTTTTGAGTACAGGAGGGACAAAATTTGACTTGACATTTTAAAAGTATTGCTCTGGATGTTTTGGTAAAAGTACACTGTCGGGGTAGGGGTGGGGCAAGGGCAGAAGCAAGGAGATGAGTTGATGGGCTGTTCCTATAATCCAGGTGAAAGATAATGGTAGCTTGGACCAGTGTAGTAGAGGTAGTAAGAAGTGGTCAAATTCTGGATGCGTCTAGAAGGGAGAGATGACAGATTTTCTCGCAGGTTGGATATGGGGATATGAGAGAAACAGGAGTCAAGAATCATGCCAAGGTTTGTGGCCTAAGCAGTTAGAAGGATGGAGTTACCATTTGAATAAGATGAGAAAGACCACATGGAGGACAGTATTGGGAAAAAGATCAGGAGTTCAGTTTTATACACATTAAGTTTGAGTACTTATTAGATATCCAAGTGGAGACGTCATATAAATGGAAATAATCAAGTAAGCAGTTGGCTACATGAGTCTGGAGTTTCAGGAAACAGACTGGGTCAGAGATATAGATTTGGTAATCATCTGCTTATAGATCTGTGGTGTCCAGTACAATAGCCCCTAGTTACATGTAACTATGCAAACAGAAAATAATTGATTAAATTAAATTTAAAATCCAGCTCTTCAATCATACTAGCCCCATTTCAGTGCTTAATAGCCACATGTGTGTGATAGTGGCTATTGTATTATACAGAGCAGATACAGAACATTTCCATTATCACAGAAAGTTCTGTTGGACAGTGGCTATATATGTGGTATTTAAAGCCATGAGACTGGATAAGATCACCAAGGTGTGAGAGTAAATAAAGAGAAGAAAAGGGTTAAGAACTGAACCCTATAGCGCTACAAATTAAGAGATCAGGGAGACGAGGAGGGATCAGCAAAGAAGGCACAGAAGAAATCAGGAGCCAGGAGGTAGCTCCTATAACTCATACGGATGAGGTATCCTGGAAGCCAAGTAAAGAAAGTATTTCTAGAAGGAGGGAGTGAACAACTGTTAAATGCTACTAATAGGGCAAGTAAGATGAGGACTGAGAATTGACCATTAGGTTTATTAAAGTAAAGGTCGCTGCTGTACTGTATGAATAATTCATTGGAGTAGTAGAGACAAAAGCTTTGTTGGAGTGGGTTCACAAGACAATGGGAAGATTTGAATTGGAGACAGCCAATAGAGACAACACTTTTGAAAAATGTTGCTATGTACAGAAGCAGAGAAATGTGGTAGCTAGAGAATTACGTGAGATCAAGAGAGTTTTTTTTTTAAGATAGGACAATGTACAGCAGAGATAGAAAAGTTGATTATATAGGAGAGAGAGGGGATAATTGCTGGAGAGATGTTCTAGAATTAAGCAAAGGAGGAGGGTCTAGTACACAAGTGGAGAGGTTAGCCTTGAACAGGAGCAGGGTCAGTTTATAATAACAGAAGGAAAGATAGATACTTAGACACAAGGGCTCAGGTAGTTGGTAGATGTGACAATGAGAGCTTGTGGAAGTTCTCTTCTGATTGCTTCTATTTTCTTTCTGAAGTAGGAAGCAGGAGCATCATCTAGTATGAGAATGGGGGAGGAGAAGTTGGAGATTTGAAGGGAGAAGAGAAGGTATGAAATAGCCATCTAGAGGAAATGGAGAATGAATGGACTAGGGAAATATAGTTAAATCACCAGACAGCACTAAGGGCCTACTTAAAGTTAAGGGTCACGAGTTTAAAATGAGACATCAGCATGGTTATACATTGTTGTTCAACACATTCAACTATAATAAATATTTGAATTTAATGGAATTGCTGTGGAAGGTCAAAGGGAAAGCCTCACCAAGAAACTAACATTTGAATTGGCTCTCGAAGAATATGTTGGAGTTTGCTATTAGGGGAGGCGAGAAAGGACATTTCAGGTGAAAGCAGCAGTGTATGCAAAGGCCCAGAGGCATGGAAGAACTGAATATGTTCTTAAAAAATTTGAAAATCACTGTTGTAGGCTGTGTTCTACCAAAAATACAATGTAGTAACTGTTCAGGGTTTTACAGGAAGAACTTGCATCATGGGGTTGTTTATGAACTTATTTTCAGATGTTCCTAATGCTCAGCAGTACAAAGTCCTCATTGGTAACCGGGAGTGGATGATTAGAAATGGTCTCGTCATTAATAATGACGTAGATGATTCCATGATTGAACACGAGAGAAGAGGTCGGACTGCCGTATTGGTGGCAGTTGATGGTAAGGTTTTCCCTAAGTATGCTAAGACTTAAAATTGTGATCTCGGTTATTGTTTTATGTGTATTTTTGAGAGACTTCTGAACTATGAGGGTTATTCAAAAGCAGCTTGAATGCAAAGTGAAAATGTTAGCAACACATGCTTGGTTACTGATTAGTTTAAAATTCTTTTGCATTTGCCTGCCTTTGTTATTTTCTTCCCTGGCCTATGTTTTAAATAAAAGCTAATCATCCCAAATCATGGTTTGGGTGTGGCAAAGTCATAACATGTAACCAAAATGTTTGTACCCCATAATATCCTGAAATAAATTTAAAGAAAATAAAAGCTAATCAAGGATTTTTTTAAACCTAAAAATAGCAATAGTAAAATAACAGCAAAGTAAAATAATAATCATAATCCCATCATCCTAACACAATGTCAGTTTTACTTTCCATATATTCCATTCCTAGTTTTGTTGAAATAGATATGTGTATATTTACAGAATTATAGTATTAGTACATATAATATTTTTTAGTGGGTGTATTTTATTGTATGTAAGTTTTACCTCAATAAAGTTGAATAAAAATTTAAAATCTCTTGTATACATACTATTTATTATGCTTTATTTTAGTTATTAATAAATATTTTCAATGTCACTGTATAATTTTCTTTTAATACTGCATAATTTATCAGATTTACACACTATAATCATTCCCTTGTTGGAAGTTTAGGCTATTCCTAATATTTTAATTGTAAGTAACACTACAATAAACATCTTTGAGGTTTTAGGTGCTTTCTTTTGTTAAATTATTTCTTAGGGCCAGTCGCAGGCTTCCACCTGTAATCCTAACACTCTGGGAGGCCAAGGCAGGAGGATTGCTTAACAGCCTGAGCGAGAGTGAAACCCCGTCTCTACTGAAAATAGAAAAAATTAGCTGGGTGTGTTAGCATGTGCCTGTAGTCCCAGCTACTTGGGAGGCTGAGGTAGGAGGATCGCTTGAGCCCAGGAGTTGGAGGTTACAATGAGCTATGATGACACCACTGCACTCTATCTGGTGCGACAGAGTGAGACGCTGTCTCAAAAATATACATATATTTCTTAGGGTATATTTCTAGTTGTGATTAATTACTCAACGTTTATAATCTTTGCTACATATGAGGGCAGTATCTTACTGTGGCTTTCTTAGTTCTGGGAAGAAGCAGAGAATACCATTTTACTTTTTTTTTTTTAATAGAATAAAATAATAAAATTTGCAGTAATATTTTTCCCAATATAAATTGCCAGTTTTTTCTCCACTCACCCCCCTTCACCTTAAAAAGAAAAAAAATGTATTAGTTTTCAGTTTCATTTGCCTTTAAATTAGCTAAAGTGTTTGGGGCTATTGGCAAATAACCTGTGTATAGAAAGAAAAAGGGTTTTTTATTATCCAATAAGGTCTCTCTTTTTATTAGCTTATTACTACCATACTAGTAACCCCTGCCTCACTTTGTGAAATTTTCATAACCAATATACAGAGTTTATGTTGTAAAGTCTGTGTGAGCTCAGAGATATTTTGAGTTAAACCAAGCCCTGAACAAGTTTACTTAAAAAAAATTCTTTTCTTTCTGAAATTTAAAGTGAAAATATTATTCTGCTTTCTCCATATTTCAAACTCTTGTTTTCTGCTTCTGTATCAGATGAGCTGTGTGGCTTGATAGCCATTGCTGACACAGTGAAGCCTGAAGCAGAATTGGCTGTCCATATTCTGAAATCCATGGGCTTAGAAGTAGTTCTGATGACTGGAGACAACAGTAAAACAGCTAGATCTATTGCTTCTCAGGTAACTGGTTTCCTTAGTTGTTGGAGTGGGAGTATGTGGTAACTTCCAATTCTTTATGTACATTTTATCTCTTGCCTTCAGATGCTAAGAAATTTATTTTCTTATCATTTTCATTATCACTGAGTAGCCATATCTAGTTCTTTAAAGAAGAATTAGCATGCTATGCTGGAAGAACTGTGGACTTTGTGTGTTACTGTTATAAGTAAAAAGGTATTTGCTTAGCTCGTGGGATGCTTAAGTGACACCGTATGGCAGTTTCTGTTGATGCTTCCTTTGAAATGTTGCTTATGTTCTTTACCAACATTGCCAACCTAAGCCAGGCTTGCGTCGTGCCTGGAATAGGGCAGTAGCTCCATGCAGGTCCCTCTCTAGTCCATCCTAAATGCCACCGATGGAACCATTTTGCTAATGCACCACTTTGACATACCATTTTTCTGCTCCTGACCCCCACATTTGCCTTACCTCCAAAATTTTTCAATCTCTTCTACTTTGGAATGCCTTCTCCCTTTTCTTGTAAATAATACAAATAATATATGAATACACTCTTATATAAAAATATAGAAGGATATAAAGTAAAAAGTTTAAGTGACCCTTTACCCATGCTCCCTATCCAGTCCTACCCCCCCACACACTGTCACTCTTTCATATGCATATATGTTCCTATACAAATGTATAATTCTGGTATTTTCAACATCTATCAGATCATTTTGTATAGATTGTTTAGCAGTTTGCCTTTTTTTTTTTTTAACGAACAATGCACCTCAGAGCTTTGTCCATTTCTGAACATATAAAGTTATTTCATTCTTTCTGCACTACTGCATGAAATTCCATGGTATAGATGTATCATAATTTATTTAACCATTCCCCTAATGATGAACATTTAGGTGGTTTTAAAAATTTTGTTGTTGCAAACAGGGTGATAACGAACATCTATCTAACGGACATGTATCTTTTTGTCCATACACAAGTCTGTCCAAAATATAGCTAGAAGTGGAATTGCTAGACCAAATGATGTTCACACTTTGACAGATACTGCCAAATGCCCTCCAAAAAGGCAGTACCAATTTACACACTAACCAACAGGGTATAGGAGAATTCATTTCTCCACATCCTTGCTATCACTGGATATTATCAGTCTTTTAAAATGTGGACATCTGGTGGGTGAAAAATGAAGGCTCATTATTATTGATCAGTTACATCTCAGGTACTCAGTATTATTTCTTGAAATGATTTGAGTTTATTTTCCTCACATAGGTTGGCATTACTAAAGTATTTGCTGAAGTTCTACCCTCTCACAAGGTTGCCAAGGTGAAGCAACTTCAAGACGAGGGGAAACGGGTAGCCATGGTGGGGGATGGAATCAATGACTCCCCAGCGCTGGCAATGGCTAACGTTGGGATTGCCATTGGCACAGGCACAGATGTAGCCATTGAAGCAGCTGATGTGGTTTTGATAAGGGTAAGTCCTGTGGCCAGGCCTTTGAGGAGTGTGAGACTGCCCTACATGGTCAATGACAGTGTCTTAAAGTATATTAAGCACAATGATCCTGCCCTAATTCCCATGCTCCCAGCCATTAAGACTGTGAAAATTTGGGGTGGGAGTATGGTAAGTCTTACTAATTAGCTCCTGACTTTCTCAATCCAGCTAAGCAAGTGACAATTACAAGCTTCTGAAGTGAAGAATAAGATTTAGGAATGTATTATGAATAAAATTATCTTTAACCAATATTTTCTCAGGTTATATTAATGAGATTTGATCCCTGTACCAGCATATGCCCCTAAAAGTGTATTCAGAACCCTGAGAAAAATTTCTGAAAAACATCTTCCAAGCCCAACTCAAAGTTTTAATATCTAAGATTTGTACTTAATTCACATATTACCAAAAGGTACACATAATCTTCAATATATACAGTATCAAATGCAAAAGTTACTAGTTAAATTAGAGTCTCTCACTAATAATCACAAATATTTCTGTTCTCAGAATGATCTTCTGGATGTAGTGGCAAGTATTGACTTATCAAGGAAGACAGTCAAGAGGATTTGGATAAATTTTGTCTTTGCTCTAATTTATAATCTGGTTGGAATTCCCATAGCTGCTGGTATGTGACTCTTAACTAGTATTGCTTTTTCCACTTAAGTCATTAGAGACCAATCATAGTGGAAGTTTGTCTTCTTATTGTTAGTTTTGAGCTTAGTTTTTGTTTGTAGCCTGCTGGTGTGCTAAGAGCTAATGTTAAAATCAATCATTTTAATTTTCAGCAGTGTTCATTACAACCTAAGAATGTATAAGCATTCTCATAGGTTTCTTTTTCTCTCCAACTTTATATTTTAAAAAATTTCAATCCTACATAAACATTGAAAAACATGGTACAGCGAAAATCGGTATGCTTTTGACCCACACTCACCAGCTGATAATATTTTGCCCCATTGCTTCATCTCTTTCTTTCTCTGTATATTCTCACAGACATATCTATTCATTTCCTTATTCATGTTTTTTTTTTTTGCTGAAGAGAATAGATTTACCTTTAGTCTCACTACCCAAACACAACCACTGTTAGCATTTATTATATTTCCTTCCAATCTTTTTTACTCTGCATCAGTTTTTGTCTTGTTACATAGTTGTGATTTTAGCATATAGAAAATTTTCAGCTCTTCACTTAATATTCTATTATAGCCAACAGGTATTTTTTTAGGTTGAGAGACCAGATGTCAGAGAGAATGAATGAAGTAATGTGACCAAGAAAAAACAATTTAGAATTGTTTAATAAGCATCTGAGAATCTCCTAAACTTAGGGACTTGGTAGGAGTTAGTAATGACATAAGACAAATAGTTATCACTTCTCCTCATTCTCTCTGGTTTTAGAGACAAAAAAAAGACATGAAACGACAGAACAGTTACAAAGCTGTTTATCAACAAGGACACACAAAAGAGGACAAAGAACAAAAGAACAATCTAAGTTCAGTAAACTCAATCCATGGAGCAAGTGATTTTTAAAGAATTATGCATGATCACTGTAGAAAAAGTAGAAAAGTGCAGATAAACACATAAAAAGTTAAAAGTACAATAAGTCTATTTCATCATATCATACAAGCGAATATTAAAATGTCTGTCAAAACCAAGCGTGGATGAGTTTGTAGAACAAGAACTCCCATACAGTATTGGTGGGATCGTGGACTGGTACAGCCACTTTGGAGAACAACTGAGGAATATCTACCTAAAGTGGAAGATGTGCCCATGTTATGACTCAGCAGTTTCACCCCTAAGTATATACCCTAGAGAAATTCTCAAACACAGGCATAGGGAGACACATACAAGAATGTTCACAGCAACACTCTATTAATGAAAAGTTGGCAACAACGTAAATCTCTACCACCAAGAAGATAAATGCTAAAGAAATATCAAAGAAATATTTTTTTTCAAAGAAATATTTTGTACGTGCATGTGTGTGTGTGTGTGTGTGTGTGTGTGTGTGTGTGTATGTGTGTGTATGAAACACATTGGTAATCTGCTCAGTACTGTCTACTCTAACTAATCCAAACTTGTTTCCTAGGAGTTTTTATGCCCATAGGTTTGGTTTTGCAGCCCTGGATGGGATCTGCAGCAATGGCTGCTTCGTCTGTTTCTGTAGTACTTTCTTCTCTCTTTCTTAAACTGTAAGTATGATGGCTTGCTCCCATTTGTATTTTATATTCCTTTTATTATCCATAGTCTTGGTAGGTTTTAGTCTTGTATCGGTCAATTGTAAGTCCAAACCATTCTTAATAATAAGAACTATTATTAGCTAATACTAATAATCAGCTATGTAATTGTCACTTCATGGAGTTTATGCATAGCAACCGCAAGCACCAAATGGGGTAAAATCTAGTACGCTAGCTCTGAAAACTAGGATTTCTGATCATGTGATTCCACACAATTCATTTTGAGCCACTTTTCTAGCAGTGACCACCTTTGTACATTTCATGCCGGGTAAATCTTTGATTTGTGCATGTAACAAGCATCTAGTTCACACTTGGTTATTTCAAACCAGTGTACTTTTGCATGTGTTTAGTTACAGGAAACCAAGTTATGAGAATTATGAGCTGCATGCCCGGAGCCAGATAGGACAGAAGACTCCTTCTGAAATCAGCATTCATGTTGGAATAGATGACACTTCAAGAAATTCTCCTAAACTGGGTGTGCTGGACCGGATTGTTAATTACAGCAGAGCCTCCATAAACTCACTACTGTCTGATAAACGTTCCCTGAACAGCATCGTTCCCAGTGAACCTGACAAGCACTCACTCCTGGTGGGAGACTTCAGGGAAGATGATGACACCGCCTTGTAAAAGGCCACAGAGAATGCTACTAGTTTAATTTGTCATGCACTGACACAGCATTCATGATGCCACATTTGCTTTGCAAAATATTGTGAAAGGATTTTATGTTGGTCTCATGCTCTTACATTAGGCATTCTATTTGAGTTACGTTTGTCTAATGGCAAAAGTATCTTTTTCAGGGCATCAGCTCTAAACCTAGCTTTATTTAAATTGAATTTCCAGGATTTTTTGTTTTCACTAGCAACAGATAAGGTAGAGCAGTGAGTTTTACAACAAGCCCTACAATTAGAGCTTGCTGAATTGCTGCTAAAGTGATAGATATTTTTTATTTGACCAAAAAAAGAAAAAAAGCCCAAGAAGAAGATAATTAAAAATGTGAAGATTTGAGAGCATGACCTTGAAGATATGTTTGACCTGCATCCCTGCCCCACTGGGGAGCAATGACTTTCAAAGCACTGTGTATAAAGCATCTAGTTTTAGAAGGTAAACAGTCGAAACTGTTTAAAAATAGATGTGCCTTATTTATTGCAGGCTTTTCCCCCCATTCTCGTGTACCCTTGTCCTTACAGTTGCTTTCTTAGATGCTCCAATATGTCTTCTTTTGTTATTTTATTTTGAGTGAGCCAAGTTTAGGTGGTTTTTCATTGATAAAAATAACTGACAACTTTTCAATATCTTGCTCCTTTTTAAATTTTGTAGCTCAGAAGACCTTAAAGGTTTGTAGTGTGCCCTGCCTCCCATCTTTCCATTAAAAAATATGTCAGATTCTTCCTTCAACCTCCCTAGCTCTGAGCTAGCTGTCAGTTCACTCCTGCTGAGTTCAACTCTAAGTTGTTAGTGTAGTCTATTGGTCTCGGTCCAGAAACTTAACATTTTGAGCCTTTTCTGTTCAAAAGATTTTCAGAGATTAACACTATTATCTTTAACATATACAGGTCATATAGAATTACCTGGATTCACTAAATTTGTAGTTTTTGGATTGAATACAATCACTTTGCTAGTATATATAATTTAATAGATTTTAATTGTCTTTTAGTGTTTCAGATAACCTCTCAAAATGACTTTAAAATAATGCTATTACACAAAGCTGCTTTTACCAAAAAATATAGTAAATTATAATACTGAAATTAGACTTTCCCTAGGTTATGATGCTTTTTAGCCAAACACATACTTTTCTCTAGTTGAATACATTTGTACTTGCCTAGTTAGTGTGGTTGGCAAATTCAGGAGCTTGTTCCCGTTGCCATATGGATTTAGAAATTCCCCTGTGAGTGCCTGGGAGCTAATATGCTGGTCAGAGATCTGATACTTGTATGACTATTTAAATTTCCTTGTTAATTGTAAGATGGATTTCATATGCAGAATATATGAATGAAGAGAACTCATACGTAAATTCCTAACATTTTGTTCTCATTGCCAAAAGCAAAGTTGCTAGCGTAATGCCTGGCACACAGGATTTGTACGCAGTAAATGTTCTTTTTTCCCCTTGAAGTCAGTAATAAATATAAAAAATCATTTTCATAAAGCAGAGTCTAAAATCAGGTGGAGCTGAGGGATGGAGTTCTTTCTCTGCTACCCCCTTTCTCTTTTATCCTTTCATGCACACACGCACGCACATACACAAAGTTTACAACACTATTCTATGCTGTCTCTTCAGATTTGGAAAAGATGTAATTTATGTCTCAGCTATCTTAAAGAGAGAACTGAATCTTTTGATGAAAGTGCTATTAATCTAGACAGGCAAACCCATTTTAATGAAATGTGAATGAATTTGCATATCTAGGCCCTGTTTTAGATCAATGCCTATGCCATCTTCCATGCTTCCAGTTTGAGTTTTAATACTTCTTTCTTATTTTAATTCCAGTAGCCCATCATAACACAACTTATTTCTTCTGACACAGATGATATGCCTATATAATAGATTTTTCTTACTCTAGAGCCCAATTGAATTAAAGAAACACTCTTTCCCTCCTTCTCCCTCCCTCTCCCCCCTACCTCTTTCTCTCTCAAGCAGTGGAACATAGTCAGTTACTACTTTTATTATTATATGTGTGTTTGAGTCATGCATGTTGTAGGACAGTGGGAGTAGCAGCTGATAGTCTGGGAATGATCAAGGATATAATATCAGCTCTTACAAGAACAGAAAACATGCTGTTTAGAAAGTGTCCTGCTTTCAGTAACTGTAGCCACATTTGAATTCTCTACACAAGTCCCTTGCAATCTTGAACTTCCATTACCTTCAGAGGGAGAGAGAGGTGATTTATGGAGGGGATCACAAATTTGCTTTCATTTAGTAACTAACTTTAAGTCACAGTTACTAGTGAGAACAAATTTTGTAAATGTGCGTTTATGTGTATGTGTTTGTTCACGTATACACACACCTATGTATGTATACATACATTTACACATATTACCATACAGAAAGAAAATGGATTTATATTTGAATTTGATATTTGAATATTCAAAGTTCTTTATTTGTATTTCCTTTATCGCTCTTCTGTATTCACTCAGCAACCATGCCCTTAGTCTGAAGGTAACAAGGACATTTGATATCCAGTGCTGGTTCAGACTCACCTATGGGGCACCTTTAACTTAAATATCCAAAGATGCCTTTTGAATTTTCAAGGATTAAAACACAATTAGAGTGTTTAGTGTTGTAGCCTAAACAAGTATGGTTGTTATTTGTGGAAATAGAAATGTTATTTTTTTCCTAGTTTAGTATCAACATTTTAGAATGTTAAATTTGATGATGCCGTGTGAACAAATAATTTTATATTGTGCTTTAATTTTTTAAAAAATCATTCTTCATTCAGATGTACAGAATGCTTAAAATAGCACTGTAGACAAGATGTTTCCAAAACTTTAAGTGTGCATCTTTTCTGTATACAGCTTAAAATCAAAAATGTATGTTAGAGAATTTCTTCCATTACTTGTGGATCTTGCTTTAAAATGCTTTTTCTTAATATTTATTTTACTCTATTTCGTTATTTTCTTTTCTTTGGGTGAGGCATCTGGTTACTGGTTATTTTAAAAAGAATAAAGTCATCCCTGGAATCACTCCCTTTGGGTTTTTTGCTTATTTGTTTTTTCTATATTTTAAAGTATTATTTTACCAAGTATAAAATATATAGAGTCATGCCAAGTTATTACTTATTTTTACATAAACTTTCTGCAGTCCCTCAATCTGGTATATGTAACCAGATAGAGCAAAAAGCATGAATTCTTGTTCTTCAATTAAAAGAGCTTCTTTAATGACATTGGTAATAAATGCCTTTTGTAGCCAAAACCAGGCGTCTCAACCTTATGTTTTTAGTTAAAGAAATGTTAAACAGTGGACGATGTTGTGCAATATTCATCTACTGTAGTCAAGATATTCAGTAGTTTGTTTTTGCATAGGCATGTAATTGATCATATTTCTGCCGAGGATGTGCCTTCAACTTTATAATTATAGTGATATGAAAAAATTTTGTCAGTGTCTCTTTTGTTAAATCATTCAACCCCCTCTACCAGCAGTTTCAAACTACCTTTGTTGTGTTTTTAGTTTTTTCAGCTATTAATCTGTGATGGGGCAGGATTGGAGGCAGTGCTGCCATATCATTTAGTGAGGATGAGAAACAAAGAAAGGGACATAATTGTTCTCCTTTCCTTTGTAGTCTCTAATACATTATTGACAGAGTGTCTTCCTCAAATAAGCTAAACAGAAAAAAGTTTTTCTTGCCTTTGGGGAGCCCTATATAGTATGTTTGAAGATCTCACCCAAGATGCATTCTCATATTAAACACTCCTTTTGAGTTAAGGAAAGAGTTTAAAACTCATTTGTGAGGAAAAGCTAATTTCCATTCCCCCCCAATCCTTGGCATTACTTAGGGTGATGAGATAGGATTGGAAATGGGAACGTAAGAGTAAAATCCCGGAGGCATGCACTCAGGTGGCAGGCCTCCTTTTTCTATTTGTATTTACCTTGAAGAAGATGTACATTGATAGCTACATCCCAGATGAGGTTTTAGAACCTTCCAGATCAACAAAACAAAACAAAAACCTTCCTGTTGGGGTAGGCTTGCTAGGTTAAGTCATCAAAGGCCCTGCTAGAATTCAAATAGAGATGAGAGAAATAGAGAGGCCTCTTTCACAAATTTGACTAGGACCAGCCAGCCCTACTTGTTTAACAGCTTCATCTTCATAGGTGTGACCACTAGTAGAAATGAAGTGCGAGATGAAAGACAAGGCTCTTGAGGACAAGGTTTAAGTGAAGTTGCTAGTACGAAGAGAGTCTCATGCAGTTTAAGAAATTTGAAAACTTCCATACAGTCAATCCTCTCTCTGGAAAAGTTTGAAATAGGCTCGGTAGTCTTTGGCGTACTATACCTTTTGCCCTCAAGTGGCCCCAAGCTTTTCATTGTCAGCACCCTCTCTGCCCCCCAAGGCCTGTCTGTAAACTGAGGTGCTGCCATTACCTCAAAATTACTTGCTTCACCTCATCCAATCTAAACTCCAATTTCTCTTTAAAAACATTCTAATAGACACATTATAACTGTACATATTTATGGGATACAATTTGATGTTTTGATACATGTATATAATGCATAATGATTAAATCAGGGTAGTTAGCATATCCATCACCTCATGCATTTATCATTTCTTCATGGTGAGAACATTCAAAAACCTCTCTTCTAGCTATTTGGTAATATAGAATACCTTACTGTTAATCATAGTCACCGTACTGTGCAATAGAACACCAGAACTTATTCCTCCTATCTAATTGAACCTTGTACCTGTTGACCAACCTCTCCCCATCACTGCTCTCCCCTCCACTCCTCAGCTTCTGGTAATGATTGTTCTACTCTCTGCTTCTATAAGATCAACCTTTTTTTAGATTCCAAATACGAGTGAGATCATGTGGTGTTTGTCTTTCTGTGTTTGGTTTATTTCACTTAACATAATGTCCTCCACGGTCATCCATTTTGTCTCAAGATATCATTCTTTTTTATGGCTCAAGAGTATTCCATCATGTAGATATATCACATTTTCTTTCTCCATTCATCCGTTGTTGGGCATTTAGGTTGATTCCAAGTCTTGGCTATTGTGAATAGTGCTACCATAACCATAGGAGTGCAGATGTCTCTTTGATGTACTGATTTTGTTTCCTTTGGATATATACCCAATAGTGGGATTGCTGGATCATATGGTAGTTCTATTTTTAATTCTTTGAGGAACCTCCATACTGTTTTCCATAATGGCTGTAGTAATTTATATTCTCACCAACAGCGTGTAAGTGCTCCCCATTTCCTCCACATTCTCGCCAACACTTGTTTTCTTGATAATAGCCATTATAAATTAATAGAGTGAAGAGACAACC